TTGTTTTTCTTTTGTTAGTGGTGCTTATTAATAAATGCTGAAATTAATTATTAAAATTTATATATTAATAAATATTAAGATAATTATATTGGTTATTTGAAAATTGATGTATATACATTCATATTTTAGTTTTTTCACATTTTAGTTATTCCATCATTTTTAATAATATATTTTTTATGATTTATTTGAATTTCTTAAAATATTTATGCGTATCTTGATTTTTCATCTGTATCCATGCATATCCAAAACGTATCCCGATACGTCTCTTAAAATTGTCTTTCCGATACACCTTGCATTTCCGATACTTTGAACCTTGATCTCACCATAATAACGTGGCCCACCATGTATGAGATGTGCGGACACATATCATGTTGCAATGAGTTGGAATGTTTTTTTGTTGGGAGGTTATCTGGATGTTCTAGCTTAGGAAAGGCAAGGACAAGAACCATATTCTTCATCCCCAATTCCGACTTTGAAACAAATCTCGGTCCCCAACCCTGATCCTTGTCAAAGATAAAAATGACCCTCCATCTCTAATCCTTGGGGATTTGATTGCTTGAAAATTTTAAACTAACAGTTTTTTAGAAGATATATTTACTTAAAGTGTTGGGACGTTTTCTTGTACTGGGCGGAGATCCGGAGTATGGGAGCATGTATTGTGTAGGATGCAGTGGATGCTTGGGCTTAGAAGGCTCATCACCCTGAATTTGCATGGGAGCTCAACACATCATGCCCCACACTAGCACAATCCAACCATGTATTGGGAACATTTTCTATAACAAGTATAGGAGATATTCCCAAAGCAAGTTGAGATGTACATGTAGGGCACACTCTAGGGGGTGCCAATCTGAGCTCTACAATTTTGTGCTAGACATTTCATGGGTTGGGCTAGTCCAACCCGTTCTAAGTCGGGCTTGAACATGAATTTAGGTCCACAAGTTTGGCTCAACATTTTTTTTCATATCAGGCTCAAGCTTTCTCTAAAAAGCCCAACCCGAGCTCAAGCCCAACTTGATAATATATTATATAGCAAAAAATGTATTTTTTATAATAAAAATACACATATAATATGTTCTTTTCATTGTTCCTCTTCTCGTTTTAAAAGCCATAGTGAGATCTTTTATTTTTTGGGATCGGGCTTAGGCCTAGCCCTTGGGCAACGTGAGCCCAACCTAACCTTATCCCAACTTGAGCCCAGGAGAACTATATACATATGCCCATGCACATATAGACACATTATTTGCATGCACACACACACACACACATATTTAGGTTAAATTTTAGTGTGTGCTTATTGACTAACCCAAGCCTAGTGGTCGTCGGCCCAGGCCTGAGCCCAACCCGAGTGCATCAAATTTTAGTATGTGTTGGGCTCGGCTTGGACAGATCTGACTTGGCCTCAAGCTAGGGCCTTAAGTCCAATTCTAAGGGTTGGGCCTGGGTTGAACTTAATAATTGTTATTTTAATTACTTTGATATTTTACTTAAAAAATTATGGTAAATTCACTAATTTAATAGTATTTTACTATTAAATCATTATAACTTTAATTACTAATATTTTACTTAAATAATTCATTAAATATGATAATTTACTATTAAATTATTGTTTCGAATAGTTTGGTAACTAATTAAGTAACATAAATTATGATAATTTTCACTAATAATTATCATAATTATTAATTATATTTATACTTAACAATTTAAGTAATTGTCAATAATAATTAAATTATAATTACTATTATTTTAACTATTGTGAAACAATTTATAGTAATTAAAATAACAAAAAAATATAATTTAAACAATTCATTAAATATGGCAATTTTCTGTTAATATTGTATTATGGTAATTTGCTATTAATAATTCATTTGCATCCATAGCAAGTTGGATGGGTTAGGCCTAATTTAAGCTTAACCTCGACGCAACCCTAAGAATTTGGTCTAAGGTTAGAGCTTAAGCCTAATCTATCCAATCTAGGCCTAATCGCATTGGAATTTGATGCACTTGGGTTAGGCTCAGGCTAGGGGGCCAGGCTCGTGTTGTTAAATCAGCCCATACTATAATTTGGCATAAATGTATGTGTTTATGTGTGCATATACATATGTATACATGCAATATGTTTATATAGTTGGTTTGGGCTCAAGCTACCTAAAGGCTATGTTAGTCCAAACTCGAGTTAGGTTCACATAAATAGACCCCTAAGGAGTGATGGCCACTATTTAGGTGGAAAATAGTTTTCTTTATGAGTTAGTTTAACTTTTTATTCTATTTTTGTCATTAAGAAAAATAACTTTATTTATTACACTTTTTTATATGATAAATACATGTTTTTTATTCAAATATTTTCTTTACGAGTTAGTTTAACTTTCTTTTTCTATGCTTTTATCTTTTTTAAAATTTTTATTTTACTCATTTGACCTAAAAGGTTGAACCATTAATCCACCACTTGAGTAGGAAAAAGGTTTTGTTTTTAGGTGGTTTTTGAATTTTGTATTTCATGTCGATCACTAATAAATAATTCTTCTTATTTATCGTACTTATTTTTAATATGATAAATATATAATATTAGGAATGTGCTAAATATATCATTTTTTTTGTTTTTTATAATTTTATAATTTTATTTGTTTTAATTTTTATTTATTATTTAACTATGACACCATGGGTTGATCCATTTAATCCGATGATTTAACTACTTGCCATCTAAATTGAGTGATGGTTTCGTTTCATGTAAATTTTAAATACATAGATTTTGTATTGTTAAAATTACTGGATATTAATTTAATTATTATAATTTATTAGTGAGAAATCAAAATACCCCAAACAAAGGTTATGATCATAGAGAATAAGGGTTAACACCTTATAGGACTTGAAAAAATCCCTTATGAAGTCCAATTGCATTAGATTGCAACTACTTTTTAATAGCCCTTTTATTTCAATTAATATAGGCAATTTAAAAAAGGATGCCATTTTCAGTGAAATTTATCAAAGAAAACGTTATAATGATACATAATTTATCAGATTCAGATTTGGTTCCTTTAATTATTATTTCATGTCATATATTTATAATTATTTTTTTTTTGTTTGTAAATTTTGTTCCCTTTGAATGGGAGGAAAATTTACACTTACAATGGTGTATGTGAAGGTGAAGGTACGTTTCCTTTTGATTGGGTGAATTTTAAAGGGAGGATGAGGTGGCATCTATCCACATAAATGACTTTTATGGTTAAACAACTACAATTACAATATTAAATGTCTTAGCTATGGCGTTTGGTCAAAGTACACATTTGTCCCCAAGAAATTTAATGATTAAGGGGTAATTTATGTCTAATTAAAATTACAATATTAAATGCCTTAATTATAGTGTTTTGTCCTTCACGTCCCCCNGGAGTAAATTTTGGGGTTAAAATAATAATAATAATAAATAAATATATTATGTATTATAAATGTATATAATGCATATATATTCATTTATAATATATATGAGCCAGGCTTCCTTTGTGTAGAACAAGGGTTAAGGCTTCACATCCCCCCTCCAAGGTTTTCTGCATATCAATAAAATTTCGGTGGCCACCCCTCCACTCGGAGTAAATTTTGGGGCTAAAAAAAAATTTATAGTGTTTTGTCAAAATTCCCAAGAAATCTAGTGATTAAGGGGTAACTTATGTGTAGACCTGTTCAAGGGTCAGGTAGCCTGGCCCGGCCCGGCCCTCAGAAGGGCTTGAGCATGTGGTTTAGCCCGCGGGCTTGAGCTCGGGTCTAAAAGCCCGAGCCTGACTATTTTACGGGCCGGGCTCGGGATTTGTTAAAAAAGTCCGGCCCGAGCCTGGCCCGACCCGACTTTTCCTAAACTGCCTAACCCTAACCCTAAATACTTAAAAAACTTCTTTTCATTCTCCTTTCTCACTCTCACTCTCAAAAATGGCTCTCATTTCTCCCTCTCAACTCTCAGAACTGACGAACCCAGCTGCACCTGTGAACTTGGTCACTGACGGCCGACGCCACCAGAAGTAGTCATCTCTCTCTTCGGCGGTGATCTCTCTCTCTCTCTCCAGCCAGCACCGTTTTCATCTTCTTTCTTCTCATTCTCAGTTCTCTCTCTTCTTAGAACTATATCTTTTATCTTCTCAATTCTCTCTCCAGCTGGCGCCACCAGAACCCAGGCGCACCGTTTTCATTCTGCGAACTCAGGCACCGGCAGCTGGCGCCACCAGATCTAGATCGTCTCTCTCTCTCGAGCGGTGAGTTCTCTTTCTCTCTCTCTCTCTGGCCGACACTTTTGTCATCTTCTATCTTCTCACTTTCTCAGTTTCTATTCTCACTCTCAGACTCCCAGGAATCAGCGAACTCAGCAGGCACCATTCTCTCAATCCTCAGAGGGCACCGGCGCTCAGACTCCCAGGTCGGGCTTCGGGCTTTTTATGAGGGCCGGGCTCGGGCCCAAGTTTTAGGCCCGTTGGTCGGGCCGGGCTCAGGCTCGGGCCTGAAAAATTTATGTTAATAAAGAGCAAAAGCCTGGCCCAAGCCCGGCCCGGCCCATGAACAGGTCTACTTATGTGCAATAAAATTTCTAGAAAATTACAATATTAAATGTCTTAATTATGATGTTTTGTCAAAATACACATTTATCCCTAAGAAATTCAATAATTAAGGGATAATTTATGTCCAATAAAAATTTCAGAAAACCAAACACTATTTACAATTTTCTAACCAAACTTCGAGCTTTATATGAGCATCAGGCTCAAACTCAAGAGTCGGGCCGGGCTTGGGTTCGGGCCTGAATTAATATAAAGATAAATCCCGACCCAAACCCAGCTTTTTGCAGAGATACGTATTGAATAATGAATAATTAAAGGGATTCCTATGATTGATTTCATAGGAAAACTGACCCACCATGGAGGATGAAAACGTGCGTTTGAACATGTTAGTTGGATCTTGACGTTTAGAAATTCCACGTGCTTCTGTGTTTCTGAGACTAATCAAATCAAGCGGAGGATTGGCTGTTCGTGGACGTTTCTGTGCCGTTGTTGTCTATTTTTACGAATTTCATTTTGGTTTTGGGAAATTTAGAGTTCCCTCCATCGATTTTAATTTATTTACAGACACTTCGACTCATGAGTTATTACGTCCTTGGTTTTGGGAAATTTAGGTTTTCGGATTTTATTTTACAGGCACAGACACTTCGACTCATGAGTTATTACCTCCTTGATTTCATTCCCCTGTTATGGGTTGACTGAACAATAAAAACCAACCCCTTTGATTTTTGGGGGTTCGTGCTACCCAATTCCCGTTCTACTTCTACCAGAAGAAAAATATTGAGTGACGAGAGAACTTTGAACCAGCACTCCACCTACTCGTCAGTCTAAAATGCGTGTGGAGCTTGTTACGAGGTAGGAACAATACTCTCTCCTTCCGCTCTCTCCTCACTCTGTCAGTCTTCAAGTAGAACACCAGAATCCATCCAACCAATTAACTAAAAAGAGAGACAGGAGATTTCTTCATCGACCCATAAAACCCCAAGTGCCTCTCATTCTCTACCGTGGCACATTATCGCCGGACTCGAATTTCCTGCAATGACGCCCACCGGAGTTTTCGCAGGGGTGTTCCTCCTGTTGGCTCTCTACTGTGGAATCGACCCTTTTAAGCACAGTGCCATCTCCAGCTTCCCTGATTTTGTAGCTCACAAGATTGATTTGCCACCATGGTCAGAGATTCCGGTCGAGAGGGACACTCAAAATCTGTTGCAGAAAGCCGAGATTAAGTTTCTGAATCAGGTTCAAGGTCCAGAAAGCGTCGCCTTCGACCCGCTCGGTCGGGGACCTTACACTGGAGTTGCCGACGGTCGGATTCTTTTCTGGAACGGCAACTCCTGGACTAGTTTCGCTTATACTTCCCCAAATAGGTATGAGTTAATTAGATTTTTGTCATTTTCATCTTCTTGGTCTGTACATCGTGCAATTTTAGTTTTCTAATCTGTTTGGACTGATTTCGCTTATAATCGTCCGAGACGATTATTCTGTTTGGGTTGAACGGTTGGAAATTGGAATTGAAGTCAAATTTTGTACGTAGGGGTGAGAAAAAAAATCGAAAAATCGAACCGACCAAATCGAATCGAAAAATCAGTTAACCGAATTAATCGATTGGTGTTTTTAAAAAACGAAGGTATCAGTTTGGTTTCGGTTAACCAATATAAAAAACCGGTGGTTAACCAAACTGACCGGTATACATATATTTCTATATATTTATAATATATGATATATTATTTATTAATTAAAATATAATATTGTATATATATATATATATTTTTTTTTATAATATATACTATAAAAATTAAAAAACCGATGAACCGAACCAACGGTTAATCAAACCGGTCAACCGGTTAACCGAATGATTTCGATTCGGTTTCGGTTACCGGTTACCGGTTTTCCAAAAACCGATAGTACCAGTTTGATCCAAGAAAAAACCCTACGGTTAACTGAACCGTGAGCACCCCTACTTGTACGGGTGCAAATCGGGCCGGGTTAGGTCGGGCTGAGGTCCTCTAACCCAACTTGAGTTGTTTAACCCAAGCCTAACCCTGACCCAATTACCCAACCCTAAAACATCTGATTGGGTTAGGATAGGTTTGGGTTCGGATTAGTCTCAGGTTGGTCGAACATCTCTACTTCATTTTGCCAAATGTATATTTCCTATTTCCTAGAGTTAAGGATTCATGATGATTCAATATTAGTATTAACATTATTATATGCAAAAGAACATGGTTATCATGTTTTTAGAAAAGAAAAATTGCCTTTAAATTTAAAATTTTTGACATACAATATACATGCATAATTGCATATAGATACATGCATGAATAGTGAAAAAACACAAATACAATTACTTATATGCATAAATACATGTTTACATAATATTTATACATGTAAATATAAGGTTAAGTTGGGTTCAGCTTGGTCAAAGCTTCAACCATAATCCAACCCAAAATTAAGTCAGGTTCATACTTTTCAACCCTAATCCAAACATCAACCCAACCCTATTTTTTTGGGCTGAGTTAGGCTAACCCAAACATAAACTTTTCTCTAAAAGACTTCAATGAATGAATAATTTGATCCATTCGAGCCTATAACTCAGAGTTGGGGAGTGGAGTTTACAAGGTTGATGATGGGCTGGTCTATATATTCTATTAGGAAGTTTTTTTGGTTCATGAGTGCAAGTTAGGTGCAAGGAAATTCAACTCTCCTTAGGAAATGTTTTTGGAGATTCTCACTTGAGTAGGATAATTTGTGGGCTGGGCTGTCAATGGCTAGGATGCTAGGGTGGCTACCAGAGCAACTATGGCCTCTCCTTGGAAAGCTATCTCATTGCTGTATCCTACATTCCTTGTACACATTTGTTATGATGTCTCTTATGTTAGTAAAGTCAAAATTTTGGGAAGACCTTTGACGTCCAGAAAATCCTCTGAAAGAACTTTACCCAATTATCTATTCCATCTCCTTATTCAAGATTGAGCCTATTTCCTACTTGGCCTCCTCTTACATGGGATTTTCATAGGGTTTGGGCCTAAGGAGGGGTTTTAAGTGACATTAAAGAAGCTCAAGATAGGTCTTTTGGAGGAAGTGTCTCATAATCCCTCCAGAGCTTGACTGTCTTTGCTTCTTGCTTCTTTTCTTGTTCTTCTCTATTGAGTTCTTTGGTTTTCCTATCCAGTATCCACCCCTTGCAGGATTTCCTAGTCCTAGTGAGAGATCCATCCGGTACAGTCCTATCCTACAAAAAATCAGCTTTGAGTCTAAGAGTGACCACTAAAAAGGTGCTATTGATTGATTAAGAAAGACGCATTAGTGGATCACATGCATTAGGATATGACTTTTCTGTTTTTGGGATGTTAGTTTCCAGTTAGATCTTCTAGCAGTTTTGCTAATCACTCATAGCATATATGATAACAATCCAGTAATTTTATACTACATACCTATATGTATTCTTGCATACATCATGGAAGGGAGAGAGTATCTGAACTCTTGATATATGCCTCTAAGTCTTCTCTTGCACATCTTGGAGGGTTGGTAACTGAACCATACTTCATTGTATACGAATTTTATCCAGTTGGAAGTGGATGGGAGTCAACTTTAATAGTTTCTGAGTTGACTTGGTAATTCGCAATGTATGGTTTAAAGAAAGGGCCAAATTGATTACAGTAATCATTGCCATTATTGATTATTCTAATGAAGTAACTTATTTCTCTCAACTTGAGCTCTGGTTTGATTCGGGTTCAAATACATCAATCTTCCCATTTCATTGTCACTAGAAATTTTGTATGGAAATGCAAATTGCACCTGAGGCCCTCAAGCTGAGGGCATGCCTTCGAGGGCATCCTGTGTCATAACCAACAAAATGTTTTCAAAAAGAAACTCCCATGTGGTCATTTAATCATGGAATAAGGTCTATTAACTCATTTCATCCTGGAATGCTGAGCATAATTGTTTATCTTTGCAAAACTTCTTATGTATTTTTATTCCTCCAATTTTCACTTGATGTCTTTTGCCATCTTTGAACTGGATTCAGGTCAGAACTGTGTAGTCCAAAGCCATCACCTCTTAGTTACGTGAAGAATGAACACATCTGTGGTCGGCCATTGGGGCTTAGGTTTGACAAGAAAACAGGGGACTTGTACATTGCTGATGCATATTTTGGGTTGATGAAGGTGGGAGCAGAAGGTGGTTTGGCAACACCACTTGTGACTCAGGCAGAAGGGGTTCCATTGAGGTTTACTAATGATTTGGACATTGATGATGAAGGAAATGTGTATTTTACAGATAGCAGCATCAAATACCAGAGGAGGTAGGCAGTTCCTAGCATAAATTCAATTATCAAGGCCATAATATGCACTCTGGATCTTGTTATGCTTGTTGCGAATGATTTTTTTTTTCATCATAATTGTTGTTCTCTTGTTTTCTTCCCATCTTTTCCTGTATGTACCTAAACCGTAACTGGATTCTATCTTAGAGCATGGTTTTAGAAGGTTTCAGGGGCAAGGCAATAAGTGTATGCCTCAAACTCAGTTGGCAAGAGCCTCTCCATTATGAGATAGTAGGCATGGTCAGGAAAATGGACCATTATATTGAATAGGTGGCTAGAGTCTCTATGAGAGAACTTTTTAGACTGAAACATGGTTCACAAGACTTGGCAAAAATCGCTGAAATCTCCTCATTTTGCTAGGCGGTGACACAATTTTTTAAGGGACTTTTGTACTATTATCCTCTGATATATTGCTGATGTGTCAGTGGTAGTTCAAATTTCATTGATAAACTTACATTTAATGTTTAACATTTCAGAATATCATAAAAAACTTTCTGATATTTCATTAAAATCATTATAATTTTTTAAAAATCTCTTCCTACAAGAATAAATGGGAATTTAGTGATTGGATGATGTGCTTGCTATTTTGAAATGAGTCACTTATCTAAATCACTATAATTCATAAGAAAAAGAAAAAAAAAAGGCAGACAATTACAAAAGAGGATTCTCAATCTAATCAAAAGGTATAATAACAAGAAAGATAAAAGATTAAAAGGGAGACGAAGAGAAAGATACCTTTTTAAGTATTTTAATCTTCACTTATTTGATTTATACAATTGTTTACTATGATAAAGTTATACTTCTAATGATTCTTTGAAAGTTAAATAATTATTCCATGTTTTTAGAAAGTTTCCCTGGTTTTTTAGATTTTCCATGTATCTTGGTGAAATTAACAAAGCATCCCTAAAATTTCTCCATCTCTACATGATGGAATGGCTACCAATATTGAAATTGTGAACCACGGATTGAAAAACCAATAAAATCTTGTAGAATGCAGAAATGGTTAGAAGTTCTAAATTTAGTCTCTTCTTTGCTACAGATATATTTCTAATCTAGGAATAACGAAAGAAAGTAGAAAGCTTTCTTCAGTAGCCAATTAATCTCTTGTATGCAGGTCAAATGGCTTGCTCTCTGTCAAGCTTTTCTCTGGTCTTGTGGAAGATATCTCAGTTGCTACTTAATGATAATATCTGCCTTTTGTTGTGAGTCTTTATGTTGTATAATTCCTGACCAGGTGTTATGACGTGAGTCTTGTTTGATCTCTGGGTGGAGATAACAGAAAAACTAAATTCTTTGTCTTGCTTCACAAGACTAAATAATCACCGCATTGAGCTAAAACTGAACTTAAAAGGTGTCTTCCAACTGCCCTATATAACAATTCAAGTCAAGTACTAAATTAGATCATAGTTTTAAAGTTCATCAAGTCAAATGAAAACTCTGATATGGTGTATATGGAATGCTTTAAGCTGATGGCATACAACTAATTTTGAGTTTTTATCAATGTTCGCCTGTTGTTGAGCTGGACAGTCAGACTGATTGACTCATCAGACAATGATGGGTTTGTTTTAGCTCAAATCTGCTAAGTTCCATAAACCTGTTAACTTGGTCAAACCAGTGAACCATTCACTGGTCATGGTTTGAACAGATCATTATCATCTAAGCCTTGTCCCAACTATATGGGATCAGCTACATGAACCCTGGTTCACATTCTGTTCTGTTCAGTGCCACATGGTTTGAACCCAGGTTTAAAATGTTGGTGTCAGTGGAAGTGTCGGTCCTCCAAATATAGGAAACATGTTGGAAATGTCAGAAATATTGTATGGAAGTATTGTAAAAATTATGTATATGGAGGAAACATTGTAAAATATGCAAAAATATAAAAATGATGTTTTATGAAATGATCAAAGAAGCATAGGCACACCTTTTTAAGTTATTATCTTGTTCCAAATCATTATACAAGGTTAAGAAACTAAAGTTATAAACAAGGAATACGTTCTGAAGTTGTCCTATAAACCTTAATATTCAAAACTTCATTATAGAATGAGCCAAGCAAATTTAAACTCATAGAAAATATAAATAGTTCTAATGGATCAACCAAATAATTTATTACACAAACAAAAACTAATATTTAACTTCATGTTTGAAATGAATATCAAATTGGCTCAAAGCGCTAATCATGTAAGTTAGGTGGGCAATAACATTTTGACTCCACATATCTATAATATTGTCACCAACTTATGTTATAATACTATCTCTTGTATTTTTGCATAGTGCTGGTAGTGTTCACTGGGGAATATGTCAATCCCAGTAAAATTTCATGTTGCTCCCCATGGGAATGGAAATGTCATGGAAATATTAGGAAGCTTAGGGACATTTTAAACCATGGTTTGAACAGATCAAGTTCTTTAGGCTGTGTTTGGTTTGAAAGAAAAGGTAGGGAAAGGTAGGTAAACCTGTACAAACCATTAAATTATGAGAGGTTAAAAACTTTCAACAGATAACATCACTTCAGGACAGGTCCTACAAATACCGATTTATATAGCTGATGCAGATTGTGAGTACTGTGGATTTTAACACCTACATATTCTCTACTTTTTTAGGTATCTTAAATTTCTTGTATTGAATGAGATCAGTAATTAGCTGCTAGGCATTGCTTTGCCTACTTTTACAACAACTGTCCAGCTCTGACCATGTGAAAGTTGATTTTTGAAATGAAATGCCTGGATATTTGCATATCTGAGCTTATTTTCTATTCAATTGTTTATAAGGAAATTTTTAACACAGTTTTCTCTTTCAGGAACTTTATGCATCTGGTTTTCTCGGGGGAGGATGATGGGAGGCTTTTGAAATACAATCAAGTAACAGGAGAAACCACTGTTCTTCTACGGAATCTGCAGTTCCCGAATGGGGTGTCCATGAGCAAGGACGGGTCCTTCTTTGTCTTTTCCGAATGTAGTGTTGGCACGTGAGTATTCTCTTCATAAAATATGCTTTTTCTACAGTCAGGGGCAATTCAGTTGGGCACTCTATATTTCTTTCCCTGTTTCATAAATATGACTTTACTGCTTATTATGATAAAGATTTTAGGTTGTGTTTGGTATTATTGCCATTTCTTCTTGACACACTTGGGGCTGATCAATACAAATTTGTGAAACGTCTTGTCACATCACATACGGGATTCACTTCAACTAAGAATGCATGTGTCATTGCCGTTTATTGGTAAAACATCACATTTGAGGCTTCTACTCTAAACAGAAATGATTAGTCCCCACATGCAATTTTTAGTAGAAATAACTCTCTTGTGTGATACGACAACAAATTTTTCTCACCAATTTGTATTGATCAGCTCCAAACATGTCAAGAAGAAATGGTGGCAATGGTACCAAACACAATCTTAGGCACTTGTGAGTAGGGATGGCTGGCTATTCTCCTTAATTTATCTTAGAACATCTCATTTCTGATGATTTAGGTTAACGAGATACTGGTTGAAAGGTGAGAAAGCACGATCTTCAGAGATATTTGCTACCTTACATGGAGCTCCAGACAATGTAAGAACCAATGAGAATGGTGAATTCTGGGTGGCAATCCACTGTCGTCGCTCTATGTACGCCTATATTACTGGCCTCTACCCCTGGCTGAGGAAATTTATGCTGAAGCTCCCAATTTCTGTCAAATCTCACTATCTACTGCAGATTGGTGGCAAGCAGCATGCAGTGGTTGTCAAATACAGTGCTGAGGGGAAAATACTGCAGATATTGGAGGACAGTGAGGGGAAGGTGGTCAAAGCAGTTAGTGAAGTTGAGGAGAAGGATGGTAAACTGTGGATTGGGAGTGTCTTGATGCCGTTTATGGCAGTCTACCAGTTGAACTGAACAACAGACCGATCCACTTGTCTGATGTTATAGAGATACTGAGGTGGTCTTATTTCTCATATGTACTTCTAGCATGTTGCCTGCACTTGCATTTGTTTTTTGTTTACTTTTGTGGAGGAACGTACAGAACATATAACCCATTCTGCTTCCTAGTTTTGTGTAATTCCTTCTTTTGCCGTGTTTGGCATGCGAAGAGAATTTGTTCGAATGGTTTTTATGATTTGAAGAATCACTTTTAATACTTGATATATGATAGTTATTCAAATGATTTTTTTTTCAGCCAAGGTTTAGAGTATTGGACGCAAAGAGTTTCAGAAATGCAATTTAAGGATAAGATAAGATATAGTATTTAGGGAGTAGGCCGATGCCCAACTAGATCTGTCAATGGGTCGGGTCTATCAGTTAGAACTGAACCAACCAAACCGAATAATAATTAGGTTGGGACTGGTTCTTGCTGTTTCTAGCCGATATGGTTAATGATAAATAAAAATCTCCAGTTTTTTTTTAACTCGTGTTGTATTTTATATTTAAAAGGGTAAATTTCATATGACAGTTATTGTTAAACTCGTATATTCTATCAACATATGAACGGTTTACTATTTTACTGTCAGTTTAAGGTTATATTATCAAAATGAAAATTTTAAGTTACCATTTGGTATTTATAGATGGAAGGTCTTACCTAATTGTCCCAAATAATAATTAGTTTGATTGTGCGTCATTCTTATAGTCCCAATCAAATATTACTGGTACTGGTACACCTTAGACAGTTCTACCCCAAACCCATAAGGCCATAATCCCCCGACCAAGTCTCTGCTACAACCAACTAGGTGTCTTACCAGGGCATTCCATGAAATAAAAATATGATAAAATGATTAGGGTTGAGTCATTTGACTGGATTTCTTCCTTGGGTCCACAAGATGCATGTACCCTACAATAAATTTTAAACATGTCGGCTTATGACTCTTAACAGGCAAACTGATGAGATTCTTCTCGGTGAGTCTCCTGGTTGAACCGGATACTAAAAGCTTAAAACAAATAAAACCTACTCCCCTTTTACATTCAAACGAACAAATTCCTCTTCCCCTCTCTCATCTGGAATCCTCTTTCTTTCTAATACACTTGAGAAGAATCCTTCTGCCACATACAAAATTTTGCCAAGTGCAAAGATATTTTGGTGGATGTACATAATTTCCCCAAATCAAGAACCTTATCCATTTCTGTCATTTACAAATTATAAAAGACTGAATTGTGTAATACAATCAACACCCATCTTAAATATATGTTGCATGATGGGTAACAAATAAACCTTAAGTATTGTGTGGTTATATTTTGTAGACAGGTACAATTCCAAGTAGATAAAAACATTTCCTCATGACTACGGCTGTTGCCTCACATAGCAGCAATCTACTCGTCTCCTCTGCCGATCCAACAACCTGCCCAAGTTGAATACCCAAGTGGATTCAACAAGTTGTCAATTGATATAAGCATTTAATAAATCTACAGAGCTCTATTCTTTGTTTTCATTGTTTGTGCGCATGTGTTGTAATGTGTATGTAGAGAGAATGTTAGCATCAATTTTCCCAAGGCTTAGTTTTGGAAGGAGTAGAAATACAAATATGTAGAGTGCAAAACCTTGTATTTTGTATTATTTTATATGTATTTGTACTGTACATATTTGTATTTTGTACTCCTTTCAAACTAAGCCTAAGCCACATCATATGGTGTTGAAGTATGTGCAGCTCCAACTCGTTTTAGTTTTTAAGTATGTGAAGATGGAAGCAATAAGTGAACCTGTAACTGAGAGGGACTGATGAAACTTTTAAAAAGACATACCAGACCTGACAGTTGGAATAAAATTTAGTGAAGTTCTCCGATAAGTTGTAGAGATATTCACACAACACATTCGGCAAGAGATTGTTACAAGCCTCCTCCACAGTCTGACAAAGAGGGAATAAACATAAAGCATCCATCAGTAACAGAAGCCACAATCTAGCATGTGATGTTAAGGGCTGGACATAAAAGAACAAGACACTAGGTACAATAAGAACTTCCTACGCAATCCCTACCTCAGCAAACTGGAGTAGATGAAGCCCCAAAACACGTTCATCTGCATGACCCAGCACAATTTCTCCCGTCTGTTTCAAAGAAGAGTATGAGAAACATCTAGTTACAACAGAAAACACTCAAAATCATATGGTTATAGTTTCATTAGCAACTCAAATAAATCAATTATTGGTTTAGGGATCGGGCAAGTTGATGCATGGGAAAAGAATTTACCTCCTTCAACTCTTCGATATCTTTACCAGATTTCCTGATGATTGAACAAATACGAGCATGTGCATAGAGGAGGTAAACAGCTGTATTTCCCTGTTCATCAAGAGTGTTACATAGGTGAGAGTTGAGACAGGTAAACAAGAGAGAAAGGGAGGGAGGGTGGATGGGAGAGGGACGTTGATGATGATGATAAATGTGCTTAACCATGGATTATGCTCCCTATAGCTAGTATGAGCCCCTGAGGTGCACCACATATATTTTATCTGGTTGTGCAGATGGACTCACTTCTGAGAAATGCATGCTTACTTGCATATACAGATGGTAGACATCAAGATGCTACTGGGCTGCACAATAATTCATCCAATACATACATCCAAAATAAGCTCAGGATTTATTACCAAAACTTCACTTGGAATAGTCTCTCAGAGATGCTGTGCAGCAACAAAATTAGCCCAAGCATTGATATACAAGTGTGTAACCTAACATGAGATTAATGCTGAAAATAATTTCTAATTCCAGAAAAATGGTTAAGGAAAATTTTTTAACCCAAAAGGAACAAGACAGAAGTAGTCCATGTTAAATATGCCACCTGGCCTCGTTATAAACTTGAGGCTTGTACATATTTCAAACCAAACCAGTCAGTGTCAACCATGTGACTCATGGCCATTCCTTTCATTGTATCTCAGGTCATATCTTTCCTTGAGGAGAGGGTCTCACTCCCCACCATCCATTATTATCATCAAGTAGGGCCCCGCCCCACCACAATAAAGCATGGTCAGGCACACAGACTTTTTAATCTAATAAACGATAAAATGCTTCAAAAGGAAAAAAGCATATGAAAAAGAAAAAGGCAATACAAGAAGTATACAAGACAAATAGCCCACATAAACAAAACAAAAGAAAACCCACACGTTACCCACTGATCAACAGCCAGTAACCAATAAAAAAAAAAGCATCAAGAGGGCATATGAATCACAAGAGAAGAAAAACATCCAGAAAGAAACCCCCAGCAGCTCAGATAAATCATCCAAATTCCAGACTGAAAACATATAATAAGAACCAGAATCACTGCAGCCAACACTAAAGAGTAAAGAGGTATTTGCCAATGTCTATGGTCGTCTTCTAGAGCAAAAAAAACAACTGTGTTTTAGAAAACTAAATCATACACATCGGTAAATTAATACTCTCAACCCCCCTACATTCATGCCAGTCTTCATCCTCAGATCCATCATTTCCACTCTAGGATAGTTTTAAAATCCATTTGTCCCATATTGGTAGTATGGGATGCTAATGTGAGGTATCCCACATCAGTAGTATGGGATACTGTTGTAGGGTATATATGTGCTTGGGTTCCCTCCCTCTAACAGCTAGCTTTTAGGGGTGAGTTCTCCTAAGGCACATATCAGATAGACATTGTCTCCTTGAAAATCTCATCAGGAAAAGTTCCACAATTTTTCTTTTCTTCCATGTCATCTCTTGAAGCATGATCCTTGAATGAGAACATTTCATTTTAGTTTAGTCACCTAATTCCTGACCTAATCCCAACCACTAAAAATATGAAACTAACCGAACTCCTAGCCAAGGCTTAAAATGCTGGAGTTGGTTGAAATGTTGGTCATCCAAATATAGGAAACATGTCGGAAATATCATATGGAAATTTTGTAAAAATTATAAACATGGTGAAAACAATGTAAAATATGCAAAAATATAGAATGATATTTTATGAAATGATAAAATAAGCATAGGCACACCTATTTCAATTAATATCTTGTTCTAAATCATTAAACAAAGCTAAGAAACTAAGGTTATAGACAAAAAAAGCGTTCTGTAGTTGTCCTGTAAACCCTAAGATTCAAAACTACATGATAGAAAGAGTTTAAGAAATATTTAAACTTGTAGAAAATGAAAATGGTTCTAATAGATCATCAAATAGTCTATTATACAAACAAAAGCTAATATTTAACTTCATGTTTGAAATGGATATTGAGCTGCTTCAAAGTGATAATCGTGTAAGTTAGACAGGCAATAACATTGCTGCTCTACATATCTACAATATTGCAACCAACTTATATTATAATACTATCTCTTGTACTCTGCATAGTGTTTGGTAGCGTTCATTGGGGATTATGTCAATTCCAGTAAAATTTTGTGCCATTACCCATGGAAATGGAAATATATCGTGGAAACCATCTCTTGTACTCCACATAGTGCTGGTAGTATTCATTGAGGAAACATGTTGATTTCAGTAAATTTTCATGTCACTACCCATAGAAATGGAAATATGTCATAGAAATATTAGAAAATTTAGGATAGTTTAAACCATGCTCCTAGCAATGCGCTCAGCTTAAAAAGGTTGATAATATATCAACCTACCACACCTCTATTTCTTGAAAGGCCATTACCTCTATGCTATTCCAAGTTATCTGGGTCTTGGGATCTAGAAAGGCCCCCACTAAGCTTACTTGTTTCATCCAATGGAAAGATCTTCATCATCCCTCACTTCCTAATTGTCACACATTATTAGCTACTCTATTAATTACCATTAATATTCTCAAAACCATAATCATTTTGTAAATCATAGAGAAAATTGAACCAAGTTGAATCATGAATCTTATCCAATGTTGCTCCCAGCTATCCGGGGTCTTGGGAGGGATAGACTGGATACAGACCTAAGGCATTTTTTGCCCAAGTGGTCGCTCTCGGACTTGAACCTGCATTTTCATGCTTGTCAGCCCAAGATTTTACCATTACACCAAGTAATGGCCCCTCCGATACCTACCAATTAATTAAAAATCGATATACTAAAAATCTAAATATATATAGAAAAATGATTTTACTCTATTTTAAATTCATATATACCATATATGTACCTAAAACAAAAGAGTTTACCATTTATATGCTAGAATCATGTTTGACTTGAAAGGCAAACAATCCACATACAATGGCTTTTTAAATTACATGTGATGGAAAATAA